ATAAGTCAAGTTTATCAATAGATCAGCCATTTGGACAAAAACAAATTAATGTTAGGTGAAAATTAAATATTTTTCTCATGTTTTAATTTCAATGATTTAGATTATTTTGTGATTATTTTAATGAGTGGTTTAGATTGTTAAAGATTCAAGAAGAAGAGCAAGGGATGAAATTTATGATCTCATTGGTCATACCCGTGAGGATGGTTCTTGGCTTATCGTGCTAGATAATTAAATTCGAGTTTAATTTTGTCTCGGTTTGAACTTCAAAATTATTTGTACGAATCAATTAGGTGTTTTTTTGTCCCAGTTTCTAGGATTTATGAATTTTGTAGATTAAAGATGAGATTTTTTTTTTCAAATGTTTGAATTTTATATATGAATAACGTAATTATATGAAGCAATGAAATTAAGTTATTCGTCTCGTTTTCTTTACTAGTTTCTACCAATGGTTTCAGTTTGCCTATTGAAACATAACTGGACGAAATCTGAGTTTTCTATGTTCCTAGAGCAATGGAAAAGTCCAATAAAGACTGTTTTATTGTGGAGGATGAGTTGTGCAAAAAGGAAGATCATTATCATATTCTAATCTCATATATGGTTTACTGTTTATGGTAATTGTTCACAAGTGTTTTGTCTAAAAAAGAGGTTGTAATGTTTCACAACAACAACAACAAAACCCTATTCCCATATGCAATGGGGTAAGGGGGAGGTAGGGTAGTAGGCTGCCCCCAACGCCGGGTTGAGAGCAATTTCCGTGAAAAACCTCCGACAGTAATAAAGATAAAATGCAATGCATGTATAAATAAATAAATAAATAGTTGAAACAGTCTTCATATGAAGTCACGGCCGCTACCTTGCATGCAAACTACTTGTAACTCTTGAATTCCAAGTGATAACCGAAAAAGAGAATATTGAACGAAAAAAATTGCTTTCAATCTAGTATATATGAATTATCATTATGCTTACGATATTGCCTGCCTCCGTTTTCCTGCAGCTAATGAGGGCGCAGCGACTTCATCATCCTCCATATAGGAATCTTCTAATCCGGCCGCGGCAAGAAGATCCTGAGGATTTTCCCCATCGTCATCGTCCTGATCATTCATCTGAGTTGTAGATTCCCTATAGTTCCTGTTGGCATCTTCATCCATCATGTCATCGTCTCTCTCGTAACGCGATTTGTTCTTATCATTCCTTCTCCCCTTCCCACCTTTTCTTCTCCTCTTCTCACTATGCCCACCCTCTTCGTGATCGATTGCAGGCCTATCCCTTCGCCTGGAAGGGTTGCTGCTACTCTTACACTGGTCCTTCACACGCTTGAAATGTTCCTCGGCTTGTTGGAGCCTTTTCTGTTCGTCTTCTTGTTTCCTTCTCTCCAACAGATATTTTCTTTGCTCTTCGGCCTTACGAAGGACTTCTTCAGCCAATGCAAGCTGACGAGCTGCTTCTTGTTTCTGCCTGCTCTGCCGCTCGTCATTTTCAGCGGCTTCACGGTGAACTTTTGCTGCTTCAAGCAAGTGTTTGAAATACTCAACATGGGTGTTTATCTTCTTCTCATCAAACCCATGAAGAAGAAGGTTCGATGCAGCAAATAATTGACTAAACATGCGAACGGTATTCTCTAGCTCTACAACCGCTGAACGAACCTCATCTACAGTCTTTTTGTCCTTCTGAAGTATTGATGTCGACAATTTCTGCATTGCTACTCCTGCATCAAACCTTAGTGTGTAATTCGAAGGAGCGAAGTGGATGGATCTCAATAAAGTTTTCTTGCATTCTTGCCATTGTTCAGCTTCATAATGAGTCCTAGCTACGTAGAGAAGAATCTGAGAGTCCGTATTGTGATAGAACTTCCGCAGGAAATTTTGATACATTCTTACAGCTAAAGCAAAATTTCCTTGAGTGAAGAAGATATAAGTCAAGTTTATCCATAGATCAGCCATTTGGACAAAAACAAATTAATATTAGGTGAAAATTAAATATTTTTCTCATGTTTTAATTTCAATGATTTAGATTATTTTGTGATTATTTTAATGAGTAGTTTAGATTGTTGAAGATTCAAGGAGAAGAGCAAGGGATGAAATTTATGATCTCATTGGTCATACCCGTGAGGATGGTTCTTGGCTTATCGTGCTAGGTAATTGAATTCGAGTTTAATTTTGTCTCGGTTTGAACTTCAAAATTATTTGTGCGAATCAATTAGGTGTTTTTTGTCCCAGTTTCTAGGATTTATGAATTTTATAGATTAAAGATGATATTTTTTTTTTCAAATGTTTGAATTTTATATATGAATAACGTAATTATATGAAGCAATGAAATTAAGTTATTCGTCTCGTTTTCTTTACTAGTTTCTACCAATGGTTTCAGTTCGCCTATTGAAACATAACTGGACGAAATCTGAGTTTTCTATGTTCCTAGAGCAATGGAAAAGTCCAATAAAGATTGTTTTATTGTGGAGGATGAGTTGTGCAAAAAGGAAGATCATTATCATATTCTAATCTCATATATGTTTTACTGTTTATGGTCATTGCTCACAAGTGTTTTGTCTAAAAAAGAGGTTGTAATGTTTCACAACAACAACAACAAAACCCTATTCACATATGCAATGGGGTAAGAGGGAGGTAGGGTAGTAGGCTGCCCCCAACGCCAGGTTGAGAGCAATTTCCGTGAAAAACCTCCGACAGTAATAAAGATAAAATGCAATGCATGTATAAATAAATAAATAAATAAATACATAGTTGAAACAGTCTTCATATGAAGTCACGGCCGCTACCTTGCATGCAAACTACTTGTAACTCTTGAATTCCAAGTGATAACCGAAGAAGAGAATATTGAACGAAAAAAATTGCTTTCAATCTAGTATATATGAATTATCATTATGCTTACGATAATGCCTGCCTCCGTTTTCCTGCAGCTAATGAGGGCGCAGCGACTTCATCATCCTCCATATCGGAATCTTCTAATCCGGCCGCGGCAAGAAGATCCTGAGGATTTTCCCCATTGTCATCGTCCTGATCATTCATCTGAGTTGTAGATTCCCTATAGTTCCTGTTGGCATCTTCATCCATCATGTCATCGTCTCTCTCGTAACGCGATTTGTTCTTATCATTCCTTCTCCCCTTCCCACCTTTTCTTCTCCTCTTCTCACTATGCCCACCCTCTTCGTGATCGATTGCAGGCCTATCCCTTCGCCTGGAAGGGTTGCTGCTACTCTTACACTGGTCCTTCACACGCTTGAAATGTTCCTCGGCCTGCTGGAGCCTTTTCTGTTCGTCTTCTTGTTTCCTTCTCTCCAACAGATATTTTCTTTGCTCTTCGGCCTTACGAAGGACTTCTTCAGCCAATGCAAGCTGACGAGCTGCTTCTTGTTTCTGCCTGCTCTGCCACTCGTCATTTTCAGCGGCTTCACGGTGAACTTTTGCTGCTTCAAGCAAGTGTTTGAAATACTCAACATGGGTGTTTATCTTCTTCTCATCAAACCCATGAAGAAGAAGGTTCGATGCAGCAAATAATTGACTAAACATGCGAACGGCATTCTCTAGCTCTACAACCGCTGAACGAACCTCATCTACAGTCCTTTTGTCCTTCTGAAGTATTGATGTCGACAATTTCTGCATTGCTACTCCTGCATCAAACCTTAGTGTGTAATTCGAAGGAGCGAAGTGGATGGATCTCAATAAAGTTTTCTTGCATTCTTGCCATTGTTCAGCTTCATAATGAGTCCTAGCTACGTAGAGAAGAATCTGAGAGTCTGTATTGTGATAGAACTTCCGCAGGAAATTTTGATACATTCTTACAACTAAAGCAAAATTTCCTTGAGCGAAGAAGATATAAGTCAAGTTTATCCATAGATCAGCCATTTGGACAAAAACAAATTAATATTAGGTGAAAATTAAATATTTTTCTCATGTTTTAATTTCAATGATTTAGATTATTTTGTGATTATTTTAATGAGTGGTTTAGATTGTTGAAGATTCAAGGAGAAGAGCAAGGGATGAAATTTATGATCTCATTGGTCATACCCGTGAGGATGGTTCTTGGCTTATCGTGCTAGATAATTAAATTCGAGTTTAATTTTGTCTCAGTTTGAACTTCAAAATTATTTGTACGAATCAATTAGGTGTTTTTTTGTCCCAGTTTCTAGGATTTATGAATTTTGTCGATTAAAGACGAGATTTTTTTTTTCAAATGTTTGAAATTTATATATGAATAACGTAATTATATGAAGCAATGAAATTAAGTTATTCGTCTCGTTTTCTTTACTAGTTTCTACCAATGGTTTCAGTTCGCCTATTGAAACATAACTGGACGAAATCTGAGTTTTCTATGTTCCTAGAGCAATGGAAAAGTCCAATAAAGATTGTTTTATTGTGGAGGATGAGTTGTGCAAAAAGGAAGATCATTATCATATTCTAATCTCATATATATTTTACTGTTTATGGTCATTGCTCACAAGTGTTTTGTCTAAAAAAGAGGTTGTAATGTTTCACAACAACAACAACAAAACCCTATTCCCATATGCAATGGGGTAAGAGGGAGGTAGGGTAGTAGGTTACCCCCAACGCCAGGTTGAGAGCAATTTCCGTGAAAAACCTCCGACAGTAATAAAGATAAAATGCAATGCATGTATAAATAAATAAATAAATAAATAAATAAATAAATAGTTGAAACAGTCTTCATATGAAGTCACGGCCGCTACCTTGCATGCAAACTACTTGTAACTCTTGAATTCCAAGTGATAACCGAAGAAGAGAATATTGAACGAAAAAAATTGCTTTCAATCTAGTATATATGAATTATCATTATGCTTACGATAATGCCTGCCTCCGTTTTCCTACAGCTAATGAGGGCGCAGCGACTTCATCATCCTCCATATCGGAATCTTCTAATCCGGCCGCGGCAAGAAGATCCTGAGGATTTTCCCCATTGTCATCGTCCTGATCATTCATCTGAGTTGTAGATTCCCTATAGTTCCTGTTGGCATCTTCGTCCATCATGTCATCGTCTCTCTCGTAACGCGATTTGTTCTTATCATTCCTTCTCCCCTTCCCACCTTTTCTTCTCCTCTTCTCACTATGCCCACCCTCTTCGTGATCGATTGCAGGCCTATCCCTTCGCCTGGAAGGGTTGCTGCTACTCTTACACTGGTCCTTCACACGCTTGAAATGTTCCTCGGCCTGCTGTAGCCTTTTCTGTTTGTCTTCTTGTTTCCTTCTCTCCAACATATATTTTCTTTGCTCTTCGGCTTTACGAAGGACTTCTTCAGCCAATGCAACCTGACGAGTTGCTTCTTGTTTCTGCCTGCTCTGCCGCTCGTCATTTTCAGCGGCTTCACGGTGAACTTTTGCTGCTTCAAGCAAGTGTTTGAAATACTCAACGTGGGTGTTTATCTTTTTCTCATCAAACCCATGAAGAAGAAGGTTCGATGCAGCAAATAATTGACGAAACATGCGAACGGCATTCTCTAGCTCTACAACCGCTGAACGAACCTCATCTACAGTCCTTTTGTCCTTCTGAAGTATTGATGTCGACAATTTCTACATTGCTACTCCTGCATCAAACCTTAGTGTGTAATTCGAAGGAGCGAAGTGGATGGATCTCAATAATGTTTTCTTGCATTCTTGCCATTGTTCAGCTTCATAATGAGTCCTAGCTACGTAGAGAAGAATCTGAGAGTCCGTATTCTGATAGAACTTCCGCAGGAAATTTTGATACATTCTTACAGCTAAAGCAAAATTTCCTTGAGCGAAGAAGATATAAGTCAAGTTTATCCATAGATCAGCCATTTGGACAAAAACAAATTAATATTAGGTGAAAATTAAATATTTTTCTCATGTTTTAATTTCAATGATTTAGATTATTTTGTGATTATTTTAATGAGTGGTTTAGATTGTTGAAGATTCAAGGAGAAGAGCAAGGGATGAAATTTATGATCTCATTGGTCATACCCGTAAGGATGGTTCTTGGTTTATCGTGCTAGATAATTGAATTCGAGTTTAATTTTGTCTCGGTTTGAACTTCAAAATTATTTGTACGAATCAATTAGGTGTTTTTTTGTCCCAGTTTCTAGGATTTATGAGTTTTGTAGATTAAAGACGAGTTTTTTTTTTCAAATGTTTGAATTTTATATATGAATAACGTAATTATATGAAGCAATGAAATTAAGTTATTCGTCTCGTTTTCTTTACTAGTTTCTACCAATGGTTTCAGTTCGCCTATTGAAACATAACTGGACGAAATCTGAGTTTTCTATGTTCCTAGAGTAATGGAAAAGTCCAATAAAGACTGTTTTATTGTGGAGGATGAGTTGTGCAAAAAGGAAGATCATTATCATATTCTAATCTCATATATGTTTTATTGTTTATGGTCATTGCTCACAAGTGTTTTGTCTAAAAAAGAGGTTGTAATGTTTCACAACAACAACAACAAAACCCTATTCCCATATGCAATGGGGTAAGGGGGAGGTAGGGTAGTAGGCTGCCCCCAACGCCAGGTTGAGAGCAATTTCCGTAAAAAACCTCCGACAGTAATAAAGATAAAATGCAATGCATGTACAAATAAATAAATAAATACATAGTTGAAACAGTCTTCATATGAAGTCACGGCCGCTACCTTGCATGCAAACTACTTGTAACTCTTGAATTCCAAGTGATAACCGAAGCAGAGAATACTGAACGAAAAAAATTGCTTTCAATCTAGTATATATGAATTATCATTATGCTTACGATAATGCCTGCCTCCGTTTTCCTGCAGCTAATGAGGGCGCAGCGACTTCATCATCCTCCAAATCAGAATCTTCTAATCTGGCCGCGGCAAGAAGATCCTGAGGATTTTCCCCATCGTCATCGTCCTGATCATTCATCTGAGTTGTAGATTCCCTATAGTTCATGTTGGCATCTTCATCCATCATGTCATCGTCTCTCTCGTAACGCGATTTGTTCTTATCATTCCTTCTCCCCTTCCCACCTTTTCTTCTCCTCTTCTCACTATACCCACCCTCTTCGTCATCGATTGCAGGCCTATCCCTTCGCCTGGAAGGGTTGCTGCTACTCTTACACTGGTCTTTCACACGCTTGAAATGTTCCTCGGCCTGCTGGAGCCTTTTTTGTTCGTCTTCTTGTTTCCTTCTCTCCAACAGATATTTTCTTTGCTCTTCGGCCTTACGACGGACTTCTTCAGCCAATGCAAGCTAACGAGCTGCTTCTTGTTTCTGCCTGCTCTGCTGCTCGTCATGTTCAACGGCTTCACGGTGAACTTTTTCTGCTTCAAGCAAGTGTTTTCAATACTCAACATGGGTGTTTATCTTCTTCTCATCAAACCCATGAAGAAGAAGGTTTGATGCAGAAAATAATTGACTAAACATGCGAACGACATTCTCTAGCTCTACAACCGCTGAACGAACCTCATCTGCAATCCTTTTATCCTTCTGAAGTATTGATGTCGACAATTTTTACATTGCTACTCCTGCATCAAACCTTAGTGTGTAATTTGAAGGAGCGAAGTGGATGGCTCTCAAAAAAGTTTTCTTGCATTCTTGCCATTATTCAGCTTCATAATGAGTCCTAGCTACATAGAGAAGAATCTGAGAGTTCGTATTGTGATAGAACTTCCGCAGGAAATTTTGATACATTCTTACAGCTAAAGCAAAATTTCCTTGAGCGAAGAAGATATAAGCCAAGTTTATCCATAGATCAGCCATTTGGACAAAAACAAATTAATGTTAGGTGAAAATTAAATATTTTTCTCATGTTTTAATTTCAATGATTTATATTATTTTGTGATTATTTTAATAAGTGGTTTAGATTGTTGAAGATTCAAGAAGAAGAGCAAGGGATGAAATTTATGATCTCATTGGTCATACCCTTGAGGATGGTTCTTAGCTTATCGTGCTAGATAATTGAATTTGAGTTTAATTTTGTCTCGGTTTGAACTTCAAAATTATTTGTACGAATCAATTAGGTGTTTTTTTTTGTCCCAGTTTCTAGGATTTATGAATTTTGTAGATTAAAGACGAGAATTTTTTTTCCAAATGTTTGAATTTTAGATACGAATAACGTAATTATATGAAGCAATGAAATTATGTTATTCGTCTCGTTTTCTTTACTAGTTACTACCAATGGTTTCAGTTCGCCTATTGAAACATATCTGGACGAAATCTGAGTTTTCTATGTTCCTAGAGCAATGGAAAAGTCCAATAAAGACTGTTTTATTGTGGATGATGAGTTGTGCAAAAATGAAGATCATTATCATATTCTAATCTCATATATGTTTTAGTGTTTATGGTCATTGTTCACAAGTGTTTTGTCTAAAAAAGAGGTTGTAATGTTTCACAACAACAACAACAAAACCCTATTCCCATATGCAATAGGGTAAGGGGGAGGTAGGGTAGTAGGCTGCCCCCAACGCTAGGTTGAGAGCAATTTCCGTGAACGACCTCCGACAGTAATAAAGATAAAATACAATGCATGTATAAATAAATAAATACATAGTTGAAACATTCTTCATATGAAGTCACGGCCGCTACCTTGCATGCAAACTACTTGTAACTCCTGAATTCCAAGTGATAACCGCAGCAGAGAATATTGAACGAAAAAAATTGCTTTCAATCTAGTATATATGAATTATCATTATGCTTTCGATAATGCCTGCCTCCGTTTTCCTACAGCTAATAAGGGCGCAGCGACTTCATCATCCTCCAGATCAGAATCTTCTAATCCGTCTGCGGCAAGAAGATCCAGAGGATTTTCCCCATCGTCATCGTCCTGATCATTCATCTGAGTTGTAGATTCCCTATAGTTCCTGTTGGCATCTTCATCCATCATGTCGTCGTCTCTCTCGTAACGCGATTTGTTCTTATCATTCCTTCTCCCCTTCCCACATTTTCTTCTCCTCTTCTCACTATGCCCACCAACTTCGTCCTCGATTGCAGGCCTATCCCTTCACCTGGAAGGGTTGCTGCTACTCTTACACTGGTCCTTCACACGCTTGAAATGTTCCTCGGACTGCTGGAACCTTTTCTGTTCGTCTTCTTGTTTCTTTCTCTCCAACAGATATTTTCTTTGCTCTTCGGCCTTACGACGGACTTCTTCAGCCAATGCAAGCTGACGAGCTGCTTCTTGTTTCTGCCTGCTCTGCCGCTCGTCATGTTCAGCGGCTTCACGGTGAACTTTTGCTGCTTCAATCAAGTGTTTGCAATACTCAACATGGGTGTTTATCTTTTTCTCATCAAACCCATTAAGAAGAAGGTTCGATGCAGCAAATAATTGACTAAACATGCGAACGGCATTCTCTAGCTCTGCAACCGCTGAACGAACCTTATCTGCAGTCCTTTTGTCCTTCTGAAGTATTGATGTCGACAATTTCTGCATTGCTACTCCTGTATCAAACCTTAGTATGTAATTCGAAGGAGCGAAGTGGATGGCTCTCAATAAAGTTTTCTTGCACTCTTGCCATTGTTCAGCTTCATAATGAGTCCTAGCTACGTAGAGAAGAATCTGAGAGTCCGTATTGTGATAGAACTTCCGCAGGCAATTTTGATACATTCTTACAGCTAAAGCAAAATTTCCTTGAGTGAAAAAGATATAAGCCAACTTTATCCATAGATCAGCCATTTGGACAAAAAAATTAATGTTAGGTGAAAATTAAATATTTTTCTCATGTTTTAATTTCAATGATTTAGATTATTTTGTGATTATTTTAATGAGTGGTTTAGATTGTTGAAGATTCAAGGAGAAGAGCAAGGGATGAAATTTATGATCTCAATGGTCATACCCCTGAGGATTGTTCTTGGCTTATCGTGCTAGATAATTGAATTCGAGTTTAATTTTGTCTCGGTTTGAACTTCAAAATTATTTGTACGAATCAATTAGGTGTTTTTTTGTCCCAGTTTCTAGGATTTATGAATTTTATAGATTAAAGACGAGAATTTTTTTTTTCCAAATGTTTGAATTTTAGATACGAATAACGTAATTATATGAAGCAATGAAATTAAGTTATTCGTCTCGTTTTCTTTACTAGTTACTACCAATGGTTTCGGTTCTTCTATTGAAACATAACTGGACGAAATCTGAGTTTTCTATGTTCCTAGAGCAATGGAAAAGTCCAATAAAGACTGTTTTATTATGGAGGATGAGTTGTGCAAAAAGGAAGATCATTATCATATTCTAATCTCATATATGTTTTAGTGTTTATGGTCATTGTTCACAAGTGTTTTGTCTAAAAAAGAGGTTGTAATGTTTCACAACAACAATAACAAAACGCTATTCCCATATAAAATTGGGTAAGGGGGAGGTAGGGTAGTAAGCTGCCCCCAAAGCCAGGTTGAGAGCAATTTCCGTGAAAGACCTCCGACAGTAATAAAGATAAAATGCAATGCATGTATAAATAAATAAATAAATACATAGTTGAAACAATCTTCATATGAAGTCACGGCCGCTACCTTGCATGCAAACTACTTGTAACTCCTGAATTCCAAGTGATAACCGTAGCAGAGAATATTGAACGAAAAAAATTTCTTTCAATCTAGTATATATGAATTATCATTATGCTTACGATAATGCCTGCCTCCGTTTTCCTGCAGCTAATGAGGGCGCAGAGACTTCATCATTCTCCAGATCGGAATCTTCTAATCCGGCCGCTGCAAGAAGATCCTGATGATTTTCCCCATCGTCATCGTCCTGATCATTCATCTGAGTTGTAGATTCCCTATAGTTCCTGTTGGCATCTTCATCCATCATGTCATCGTCTCTCTCGTAACGCGATTTGTTCTTATCATTCCTTCTCCCCTTCCCACCTTTTCTTCTCCTCTTCTCACTATGCCCACCCTCTTCGTCATCAATTGCAGGCCTATCCCTTCGCCTGGAATGGTTGCTGCTACTCTTACACTGGTCCTTCACACGCTTGAAATGTTCCTCGGCCTGCTGGAGCCTTTTCTGTTCGTCTTCTTGTTTCCTTCTCTACAACAGATATTTTCTTTGCTCTTCGGCCTTACGACGGACTTCTTCAGCCAATGCAAGCTGACGAGTTGCTTCTTGTTTCTGCCTGCTCTGCCACTCTTCATGTTCAACGGCTTCACGGTGAACTTTTGCTGCTTCAAGCAAGTGTTTGCAATACTCAACATGGGTGTTTATCTTCTTCTCATCAAACCCATGAAGAAGAAGGTTCGATGCAGCAAATAATTGGCTAAACATGCGAACGGCATTCTCTAGCTCTGTAACCGCTGAACGAACCTCATCTGCAGTCCTTTTGTCCTTCTGAAGTATTGATGTCGACAATTTCTGCATTGCTACTCCTGCATCAAACCTTAGTGTGTAATTCGAAGGAGCGAAGTGGTTGGCTCTTAATAAAGTTTTCTTGCATTCTTGCCATTGTTCAGCTTCATTATGAGTCCTAGCTACGTAGAGAAGAATCTGAGAGTCTGTATTGTGATAGAACTTCCGCAGGCAATTTTGATACATTCTTACAGCTAAATCAAAATTTCCTTGAGCGAAGAAGATATAAGCCAAGTTTATCCATAGATCAGCTATTTGGACAAAAATAAATTAATGTTAGGTGAAAATTAAATATTTTTCTCATGTTTTAATTTCAATTATTTAGATTATTTTGTGATTATTTTAATGAGTGGTTTAGATTGTTGAAGATTCAAGAAGAAGTGCAAGGGATGAAATTTATGATCTCATTGGTCATACCCCTGAGGATGGTTCTTGGCTTATCGTGCTAGATAATTGAATTCGAGTTTAATTTTGTTTCGGTTTGAACTTCAAAATTATTTGTAGGTGTTTTTTTGTCCCAGTTTCTAGGATTTATGAATTTTGTAGATTAAAGACGAGAATTTTTTTTCCAAATGTTTGAATTTTAGATACGAATAACGTAATTATATGAAGCAATGAAATTAAGTTATTCGTCTCGTTTTCTTTACTAGTTACTACCAATGGTTTCAGTTCGCCTATTGAAACATAACTGGACGAAATCTGAGTTTTCTATGTTCCTAGAGCAATGGAAAAGTCCAATAAAGACTGTTTTATTGTGGAGGATGAGTTGTGCAAAAAGGAAGATCATTATCATATTCTAATCTCATATATGTTTTAGTGTTTATGGTCATTGTTCACAAGTGTTTTGTCTAAAAAAGAGGTTGTAATGTTTCACAACAACAACAACAAAACCCTATTCTCATATGTAATGGGGTAAGGGGAGGTAGGGTAGTAGGCTGCCCCCAACGCCAGGTTGAGAGCAATTTCCGTGAAAGACCTCCGACAGTAATAAAGATAAAATGCAATGCATGTATAAATAAATAAATAAATACATAGTTGAAACAGTCTTCATATGCAGTCTTTATATACTCGTCTGTAATGGGGGTAATCCCTGCAAATAAATCCCTACGTAAAAATCTCTACATATATACAGAAAACGTAAGACCCAGCTAAAATTAAAAAGAAGAAACCTGAAGAGGATGACACACAGTAGTCAAGATAGCAAGTTATAAGAAGAAATAAAGTCAGATGGGTTAACACCTAAAACTAAGGCAACACTACTCCGCTACCCTAGTTCTAAGCCTTCATAAAATTCAATGAAAGAAACGTATATAAAGTAGAATTCATGGAAATTACTACAAAGGCATTAAAAAGAGGACAGAGATTGTTACACCCTATGGCAGTGACCCGCACTACTCGGCTACACTGGTCTTAAGTCTCCATACTTTCCTATCAGAGGTCATGTCCTTGGTAAGGGCTAAATTCTTCAAATAAAATCTCAAGCAGTCTTCCCACTTCCGCCTTGGTCGTCCTCTCCTTCTGGGACCGTCGACTGTAATCGAATCTACCCTCCTGATCACATCCGACGGTTTTCGCCTAAGGACATGACCAAACCACCGTAGTCTTCCCTCCATCAACTTTTCGGATACCGACACCATCCCCAAGGACATCCTAATAGTAGAGTTTGGTGTCATGTCCCACAGCGTCCTACCATATGCCCATCTAAGCATTCTCATTTCTGCGGCCTTCATCCTCCTTACGTGATCCTTCTTGATTTCCCAACATTCTGATCCATACAGCAGCGCTGGTCTTATTGACATTCTATAAAATTTTCCCTTAAGTTTTTGAGGAACCTTCTTGTCACACAAAACTCCAATAGCAGCCCTCCACTTTATCCATCCCGCCTTTATACGGTGTGTAACATCATCATCTACACCCCCATCTTTATGTATCATAGACCCTAGGTACTTGAAACAATCCTTTGAGGGGAGAACGTGTCCTTCTATGCATACTTCTACATCTTCATCATTTTGGTTCCCACTGAAGTTTGAACATAAATACTTTGTCTTTTCAATATTAATCCTTAGACCTTTTTCTTCCAAAGCAGTCTTCCAGGTAGCCAGTCTACTATTCAGCTCAGTTTTTGTTTCAGCAACTAGGACAATGTCGTCTGCGAAAAGCATACACCATGGGACACCGTCTGGTGTCACAAAAAATATGTCCTCCATAATCAAGGCGAAGATGTAAGGGCTAAGAGTCGACCCCTTGTGGAGTCTGATTTCCACAGGAAATGCCTCGGTGTCACCAACTGTAGTCCTGACGTAAGTAGTAGATCTACAGTACATATCACGAATCTCCCGGATATAAGCAGTTGGGATCCGTCTCATTTCCAAGGTCTTCCAGATCGTATCGCGTGGGACGCTATCATACGCCTTCTCAAGGTCAATGAACGTTATGTGAAGATCTCTATTTTTTTCCCTATATTTCTCCATAAGCCGTCAAAGTAGATGAATCGCCTCCGTAGTCGACCTGCCTGGCATAAAACCAAATTGGTTTTTCGAAACCCTAGTAACCTGTCTCAACCTAGCCTCTATTACCCTTTCTCATAGCTTCATGGTATGGCTTAGTAGTTTAATACCTTTGTAGTTGCCACAACGTTGGGGATCTTCTTTATTCTTAAAGATTGGTATGTAGACTCTCTCCACTCCTCTGGCATCTTGGCAGTCTCTAAAATAATATTAAAGATTTTGGTCAACCACTTAACTCTCTCTTCTCCTAGGGCCAACCACACAGTGATAGGAATTTGATCTGGGCCGACAGCTTTGTCCCTCCCCATCTTTCTAAGAGCCATTTTGGCTTCCTCAAACTCAATCCTACTTGTAGGGCAATTATTGGCCGTAGTATGATGGTTGGCTAACCCATCAACGACCATATCTCTACAGGGTGAGGCACCGTCATTAAATAAGCCAAAGAAGTAACTACCCCAAACCCTTTTAATATCATGGTCTTTCATTAAAAGAACACAATTGTTATCCTTAATAAACCCAATGCTACCGAGATCCTTTTTCCTATTTTCCCTGGATTTTGCAAGCCTGAAGATGTCGTTTTGTCTTTTCTTGGTGTCTAATATCTTGTACATTTCCTCATATGCCTTATCCTTTGCTTTAGCCACTGTTTTCTTGGCTTCCCGCTTTGCTTCCTTGTATCTTTGTTTAGCTCTCGATCTTTCTTCATCGTCATTGCATTGTAGAAACTCCTTGAAGCAAGTTTGCTTTGTCTTCATCTTAGTTTGAACTTCGTCGTTCCACCACCACGATCCTTTATGTTCCTTTACCTTCCCTGTCAATAACCCAAGGGTGTTTTTGCCCACCTCTCTGATGGTATTTGCCATATTTTTCTATAACATATCTGCATTATTTGCGTTTGTAGTTCCAAAACCTGTATTAGACAAAACCTTACTCCTAAAGTCATCAGTTGTCGCTCCATGTAATTTCTTCCAAAAGATCCTAGGTTTACCTAGTTTAGCCCTCCTATGAGTGCTCCACCCGTTGCGTACGCGGAACACTAAAACCAACAATATGTGTTGTGATGCACATGCCTCTTCAGGGAACACCTTACAGTCAATGCAAGCCCATCAATCCCGATTTCGAACCAGAATGTAGTCGATTTAGGTACAATGACCCCGCTATGGAATGTAATCAAGTTCACATCTCTCTTATTAAAGAAGGAGTTAGTGACCAACATATCGTGTGCAGTAGCAAATTCAAGCAACGTACGCCCCTCCTCGTTCTTACTACCAAAACCGAAACCTCCATGAACACCGTCATACCCGTCGATTTCACTACCTATATGGCCATTGAAGTCTCCCCCTATGAAAACTCTGTGGTCCTCCGGAATAGAGGTTGTAATGTTTCAGATGTATGGAATTCTGTTCAATCTTAAAACTAGCTTCTTTTACCTTACCTGCGAAAGAAGAATATTGAATATCGTGCACTCGATATGCAGAGCATAATTACATTTTAGTACATCAGTATGCATATTGAATATAGTCACCACAAGCAATGCATTTCCCTTTATACATGGGATCATAAAAGAGAATATCATCAACCACAAGCAATGCATGGGATCATAAAAGAGGTTTTGGGTGATCTATGACGAATGTCAACCCATTAAACGATGAAAAGGACAGTATGGGCACTTGAAACTTTTCGAGGCATTCTTTGACATCTTGTTGATAGACTGTTTGCAAAGCACATGCCCACACGACAATAGCATTGGCGGGTTATCATCAGTTGATTGCTCCTTGGATACGGGGCAGAAAAATATTGAATGAAACTGAAACTCCTTGTCCAACTCCACCGGCATGGGCAACTGATTCATTGTTTGTCATTCGTGTTTCTTCCCTGCCATAACAGTCATAAACTTGAGAAGAGGTGGCAGTCCTTGGATTCCTGCTGCTATTGTGACACTCAATGGACCCTCGTATGATTGCCCCAGAAGATTGCAAAACTGCCTGGTGAGTCCCTCGGTCACCCTATCCCAATTGGTAGGCGAAAATAAATGAGCATATGGGGACTCGTGAAGTCTATCAGAATAAAAGAGACATCCCATAAGCTTCTGGATTTCGGCCATGTGGTTTCCGGCGAAAGAAACAAAGTTGGTTCTCGCATACTTGAGTGCTTCATCTATGCTTCCCTTTTGAAGTATTTTCAGGAACTGCAAATGGAGTCTCAGCTGAAGGTCTGAACCATTTTCTTTCAGTTTATTGGAGTTTGCAGCTGCCCATTTCAGGGAAAGCTCTAGGTTCCAACTCTTCATGGCTTCGAGTAGTTGATGAAGTTCCTGGAAAAATAATTTCATAGCAGCAGCAGCTTCTACATCCCGAGCCTCTGCTATTAAACAATCACCAACCTCAAACAGCCCTTGACGATAAAAGCCTTGGATATATCAGGATTAAGGACTTTCTCGAGAGCTTTGGATACATGCTCAATGCTATGTTTAGTTCCTTTTGGGTGCCTTCTAGCTGACTCCGTGGAGCAACTTCCTGCAACTTTTTCTTCAGTTCAGCTAGTTCGGATTTATATTCACGGGTTCTTGACTGCACCATCTCAATTGCCTCCTCTATTTCCTGAACAATCAGGTCTGTAACTTCATGTGTTTTAGAATAAGACACCTTTTGCTTCTTTGCAACACGCTCAAATGAATCTTTCAGGCTATTAAAC